GCCCCTGTACCATCACATCTCTCGAAGACGCTGGTGAGGATCTCCCCAGATGAAGAACTGAATCCCTGAGCACAGCGACAGGCGGTGGCATTGACACATTTGGAGTTCAGAGGGCACCACCAAGGACAGCCTTCTGGGGCAGAGGCTGTGGGGATGGAGACCATGGTCAGAAATGGAAGAAGTCAGCTACCAGCTGGGGGCCCAAGGGTAGAGGAGGGGACGGAGGGAGTGATGGCTGCCACTGGACTTGGAAGAGCTCAGAAAATTATGGACATTTAGGGAGGAAGAAATAGCTTTTATTTCCAGAAGACCATCTCCAGGCCTTATTTGCAAGGTACGTCTCTTTCCCCGTTGTTAGTGAGAAGACCTGTACCCCAACAAGCGCTATCGAGCTTATGTCACTAATGGGCCTGGCTGGTCAGACTCACCTCTAAGTTTTTCAGCTGCAGCCCTCAATGTCAACATCAGCTGCAGAAAGAGATCTGGGGTAGAAAGACAGAGAGATGATAAAGATAGGAAAGTGGAGCTCCAATTTCAACCCCTGTCCACATGGCCATTGCCACATGGGAGGTGGCTCTGGCCTTGCAGCCCACAGCTTTCTGGCAGATTCCCTGAGGTTTTATACTTTACTTGGAATCAAGGACTCAGTCTTTCCCTTCTATTTCCTGGGACTCCCCAAGGAGTCAGTTACTGACAGTCACAGCTCTCACGAAACCTCAGGTGCTACAGGTAAGGGGGCAGAACATACACACAGCTGATGACAGGGACACATCGTAGAGACTCCAGCCTTTTCCAAAGGAGAGGGTAAGTCAAAGGAGAAAGTCCTCAGATTGGTTTGCCTGCTCCCATGTCCACATTCTTTGTTCTTAGGCAGTGGCAGCAATCTGCTTTGAAAGGCCCCACTGTCTCCTCCCTGGTGAGTAGGTGCCATTTCTTATTCACATGGAAGCATCCTATGAGTGAATGTTGTGGCTTCAATGCTCTGTTGTCCAGGTGTAGATGGAAGTGTCTTGAGTTCTCCCTGACTTTTAGCCCCTGTGTCCTTGCTTCCTTGGGCAGTTCCCAGGTGGGGTGGGAACATCATGGTTACTTGTGTCCCAGCCTGAGGAGTTGGACAAAGGCCAGGGTGGGCCTTCCTAGGAGCCAAATACAGGAGAAATGCGTTCCCTGAGCAGTACCCATCTTGGCTCCCAGTGATGACCTTTGTCTTGCCTCCTCCAGGACAGCTGTTCTCTGCCTGAATTCTCCTTGGAACCCCAGTGACCTTGGCAGGACAGAGAGCTCTCCTTTCCATGCTAACTCTGATACTCAAGCTTCATGGAGCTGGCCCAAGACCCATCCATGAGCCTGATTCCTCAAAGAGCTTGTAGGAAGGGGTGAGGAGAATGAAGATGGTGCCAGACAAGCAAGAGCCACTCAGACAGTGGATGCCAGGCCACGGTAGACAATGGGAGTTGATGACAAGCCATGCATGTTTGAGGTGGTGAAGGGGCTTCTTCTGATCCTCACAAAGTGTCCCCTGGATTGACAGGAAGTGGTTAGAATTCACTTCTGAGCAAGGCCAGCAGTAGGTGAGGGCTGGGTGGCTGGAAAGGGGAACAGATGCTGATGGGTGAAGGGTGGCAGCTGCTTCTGTCATCTGACTCCTTGGTCTCCACTGGGAGCACAGGCCTGTAGGTCTTGTTGAAGGAGGCTCAGCCTCCATCATCTGTCCCCCAGTGGTTTGGGCCCCCATGTAGCCTGAGTTGACCTCTACAAGAGAGGGTCTGGCCTGGGGCAGTGGTCTCCAATTACGTCCCCTCTTTCAATCTCATCCAGGTAGGAGCCTCTTCCATTTATCCAACTTTCTGAATATGTGTGGGGTGGTCTATGCCACCCTGCCCACTCCCAACACAACATGCTCATGGGTCCTAGTCATCTGAGTTTCCCACAGGCCCATGAACAGAAATTATTGGATTGGATCAGGGTGAAGCCTTGCTTGAGAAAATAGATGTGGTTGAGCAGCTGAGAAGTGGGGTTAGGTGCAAGGAGGGGTTTCACCAGGTGTGGTTGTTGGCCAGGGCAGGGCCAGCTGGGGGACATGGGCCCACCCTTGACTCTTCCCACTCCAACATTTCTGAACTGGGTCCATTAAGGCCTGAGGAATCTGAGAGTGCTCCTGGGGTGGCCAAGCCTGTACGGACCCTAGTGGGGAAAGGTCTCATTCTGGCAGTTACTGATAAAGAAGAAAAGGATGGGTATTGCACTGGAATGAAATACTCTGTGAGCTCTTGAAGTTTCTTGAATGCCACCCCTTTCTTTGTTTTATGAAAATAAGATGCCAGGTGGTAAAAGCATGTTCCAAAATTGCATAAGTGGCACTTAGTGGGGGGCATTCAGAGCCTTGGGGTTCAGAGAAGAGGGGGTGACCTGGTAGGTGCCCAGGTTACCCCTCTGATGGCCTGGAGAAAGGGTTGGGAATCCCAAACCTAATGAATGAGAAGATGGAAGACATGGTATTCTACTTACCATCACACAGGCTGTCAAGATCTAACATTGCCTCAGAAACGAGGCTTTTGCTTCGTCTGCAACGGCAGTAACTCTCTGTGAAGTTTCGGCAGTCAACATTTATTTCACAGGACACTGTTGATTCTGGTCCACACTCCTTCATGCCTGGAACACAACAGGAGGAAATGTCACCTATCAAAGACATAAGTTCCCATAGGTCAGAGACCCTGGCCTCCAGTCTGACCCTGTCATAGGGGCTGGACAGAACACAGGTCCAGGGTAGCACTCCTGGGGCTGGGCTGGGCAAAGCCAGCTGCTCCAAAGCCTGCTGACTCCTCTGCCCATCTTGACTCTGGCTGGTCTGAGGACACCTAGATTCAGACACTCTGCTGTGTCATGATGGAGCTGGAAGGAGATCTGCATCCCTTTCTCCAGGCCTTGAGGGGTAGACAGAAGCACAGACTCAGCTCCAAACTCTCCTTTGTGGTGCTATTTGCATCACTGGTAACCTGAGGGTGGCCTCCAGTTAGGGTGACAGTGGATTTGAAGGCCATTCTCAAATCTGAGGTCATGGAGTCATGGCTAGGGGGTGTACAGGGTGACACTTACCACACACCTGAAGATAAAGCCATGTGTCAGGCCCCTGCCCATTGACAGCTTCCACTGTCCTTTAATCACAGTGGCCCAAGTACACCCCACCCTCCCTGTCAGTAACTCCCCCAGCTCCCAATGTCAGGCCTTTTACAGATGCCCCAGGATATCTCTGGGAGAGTCTATCTACACCCTGGGTAAAATCCCTTGTTATCAGAGGCAGCAGGGGATATGAAATGAAGAAGCATCATGAAGGTGCTCACAGCTAAGTCACTGGGGGTATTTTCTGTCATCTTATCTCTCCCTGTTTTCTAAACATGAGAGAGAGAGAGATGCCCATGAGCCAAGACCCCTTTGAGTAGCTCAGGGACACATCAAGCAGGTGTTGGACATCATTGGGTAACAACAACAGCAACTTAATAATAACCAGGGACACAAGATGAATCAAAATGCAGGGACAGAAAGTTTGACCATATCCATTCCAATCAGGCGACCAAAGACTTTAGAGCCTGAAAGAACTCATGAGGTCATGATGAGTCCAGGCAGGCAACTGGTCTCCCCCCAGGTCAGAGTTCCTTCTCTAAATTCTGGCTTTCCCTTTTAAGGCCCAGGCTACTGTGTCAGCACCAGGACTTGAGAGGAACTTGGAGGGACACACGTCTGTAGCATTCATGTTCAGCCCTCACCTGGGCAATGGGTCTTTTCTCCTCTTTTCAGGTGATGGCACTGGCTGGAGACCTGCCACCAAGTTAGATGGGATGGGGTGGAGTAGAGTTGGGGAGAGGTGGGAATAAGGTGTGGGATGGAAGGACATGACAATGGGAAATTCCTCAACCTGACAAGTGCCCTCAAGAAGGGAGCTGGTATCCAGGTGCCTTAGTAGCAGCATCTTCCCTACGTGTCTGCCCAGTCTACAATTTCCCATGAGATACACACATGCAAGTGTATAAAGAAACCTGTGGGAATATCTCTTGGGTCATAGATTGGCTGGGCGCTAGTCACAACATCTTTTTCTTTTCCTGATAAAATTAATTTTTCCACAAATATTAAATAATACACAGACACTGAGAAAACAAATAAAATTAAATAATGAAAAGATAATCGCCCATAAGTCCACTATACAGGTTATTGGAAAATTTTAGGGGTGTATAGTTTCTCATCTATTCAAAGATATTAAGAATATTTTCATTTATTGCCAGTAAATATGTATGTAAGAGTATTTTGAGTAGATGAAGAGTATTTCTTGGTGTAAAATTTTATCCTCCCCCCATATTTTTATGGTGGTTAAATGCACATAACTAAATTCTCTACTTGAACCATTTGTAGTACTATAATTTCCTTTTATGGTCCAATTTCTTTGAAGAATAAAAACCCTTTAGCTTTAAAACTTAGTGTTACCACCTTATTAGCTGCCAAACTTTGGCAAGTCACTAAATTTCTTTGAGCCCAAATTTGGAAATTCAAGGAATGATGCTGCCCTGAAGCCATAAAATTCAAAGAAAACATAGGGGGTTAGTTTCTTGACATCTGTCCTGGCAATGAATTTTTGTATTTCACACCAAAAATAAAGGCAACAAAAGCAACAATAGACAAGGGAGACTACATCAAACTAGAAAGCTTTTGTACAACAAAGAAAACTATCAGCACAATGAAAAAGCAACCTGCTATTGTGAGAAAATATTTGCAAATCATGTATCTGATAAGGAGTTAACATCTAAAATGTATATGTGTGTATGTGTGTGTATGTGTGTGTATATAACAAGTGTTGGAGAAGATGTGGAGAAAAGGGACCTTAGGCACTGTTGGTGGGAATTTAAACTGGAGCAGTCCCTATGAAAAAAAGTATGGAGGTTCCTCAAAAATGTAAAGAGTCATGATTCATATGAATACTTTTGGGTATTACTCAGAAAGAAATGAAATTATAATCTTGAAAAGATGCCTGCACCTCCATGTTCATTGCAACATTATTTACAATAACCAAGATACAACAACAACCTAACAGTCCACTGATGGGTGAGTGGACAATGAGACCATGGTATACATATACAGTGGAATATTTATTCAGCCATAAAAAGGAGGAAATCCTGTCTTTTGTGACAATATGGATGGACCTTGAGGACATTATGTTAAGTGAAATAAGTCAGACAGAAAAGTACAAATAAAACAATCTGACTTAAATGTGAAATTTCAAAAAACCCTACACAAACATATAGATACAGAAACAGATTGGTGGTTGCCAGAGTGGGGCAAAATGGGTGAAGGTGGAAAAAAGTTCTAGCTCTGCTTGCATCCTGGCTCTGCTGTGAGGATGAGGTAGAAAACCATGTTTGTGAGTGGGCTGGATTCCTCGTGAGCTTGAGCTAGTAGGAGAGCCTGAGATTCCAGGCCCTGGGTATTTCTTTCCTCCTGCTGCTTCCATTATTTCTTTCCTTTCTTTGTGCTTTGAAAATAGTAATTACAATAGCAGCAGTAACAACGATAATAGCTCACATTTGTTGACAATTTCTCTGTACTCATCTTTAAATTTTTTCCATAATGGTAAATATGAAATCTTACACCACCCATGTGGGGTGGGTACAATAATTATCCCCAATAAATAGACAAGGAAACTGAGGGGAAGAGAGAAGAAATAATTTCCTAAAGGTCAGAGAGCCACTTAGTGGCAAAGCTAGACTTTGAACCCACACAGCCCAGCTCCACGGTGTAAGCTCTAAATACCCTTCCTACTACAGCGATCACAAAACTTAACTGCCCTCTTTCCTCATACTACCCTGCCCTGGCTCCTCTCTTGAATCCTTGACAAAATGCTTCTGTGCTGCTCTGGCTGCTTCACAATCTACCTCAATAAACTCTTTATGTCCCTCCACCCCCCCAAGCCTCTGTACCTTTGCAACTCTCCAAGTGGCCGGGGAAGATGTTTCCATGTGCAGAACTGAATCCCGGAGCGCAGAGACAGGCGTTGCCATTGACACATGGCGGGTCCGGAGGGCACGGTAGAACACAGGCTGTGGGGATGGGACAGTGAGGATGGAGACCATGGTCAGAAAGCTCAAGGAAAGGATGACGCCCTGGACAGCTGTGGGTCCGAGACTAAAGGAGAGGGGAGAAGGGAGGGATGGCTGCTATTGGAAGAGAAAAAGACCAAAAAAAACCAACAACCCTGGGCATCTAGGGAGGTAAAAACAGCTTTTCTTATTTCCAGAAGACCGTCTCTGAGCCTCCTTCTCTCCCAACTGGTGAGAGGACCCAGACCTCAGCATGTACTCCTCAGCTTAAAACCACTAATGGGTGTCTGTCTGGGCAGGCTCACCTTCATCGTTCAGGCCTACATCAACCAATGGCAACAACAGCAGCACTGACAGTTCTGGGACAGAAAAATGGAGAGATGACAAAGAAAAGAGAGTCAGTCTCCAATTTCAAATCTTGGCCACATGGTCATCGCTTTCTGTGGAGGTGATTCCCCTCCACCTCTCCCCTCTCCCCTCTCCCTTCTCCCCTCTTCTTCCTCCTATTGATTCTGTTTCTCTGGAGAAACTGGACTAATACAAGTGGTAAAATGAGAAATGTCTGTTAAGTCCTTAAGTATGCCCTAGGAATAAGTTTCACTAACTTTCTCCTTTGAGATTTAATATAAATGAGCTAATATCGTCAAATTTCTTTCCGTATGTACCTTACAGAAATATTGGGGAAAACAAGCCAGGTATCAAGCAAAAACAGAACATTTTCAAACTGGATAGAGAGTTCCCAGATAGCCTTAATTGTCTATCGTCATTGCTGATTCTACCTACCTGGCAGCAGTCTTAGATGTCTGTTTCTCATGGTGCAGACAAAACAAGCCCAGCCACTGAGGATGTCTGATCTTGGCCTGTGTGTGTTAAAAACACTATTTGAAGTATATTGTGCCCTAGAGGAGGTCACTTAAGAAACTTCCTTTCCCTTAATCTCCCCAATAATTAAGTTCTCAGAGACTCTAGTTCTTCTTTTTAAGGATTTACATAGTATTACAAGTATTTATACTGAAAGCTTCCTTGAGGGTGATTTCTAAATGTTTTCACATAGGAACATGTGATACTGTGTATTCAAAGAGCTCCCCAAATGAAGAATCACTCTACTAGTCTTTTGGCCCCAAGAAGACCTTAGATCAGAGTGAACAGAATTATCTATTTATTATCAATTAATAGACATTTTATTGTGGCATAATTGACTACATTATATAGTTTCAGATGTATAACATCATAATTCAATAACTGTATACACTGGGAAAGATCACCATAATGTCTAGTTAACATTCATCACCATATATAGTTACAATTTTTTGTGTTGAGAATTTTTAAGATCTATTTTGTTAGCAACTTTTAAATATGCAATGCTTTATTACTGACTATAGTCATCATGCTGTACATTACATGCCATGGCTTATTTACTTTATAACTGGAAGTTTGCATTTTTTCACTCCCTTTATCCATTTCATACCCCTCCCCCCCACACACCCCAGGTCTGGCAATAACCAATCTGTTCTCTGTATCTATGAGCTTTTTTTTGGAGTTCAAATATAAGTGAGATAATAAATATTTGACTTTTTCTGTCTGACTTATTTTTCTAGGCATAGAGACCATAAGATCCATCCATGTTGCCATCAATAGCAACATTTTATTTTTTAAATGGCTAAATAATATTCTCATTTGTGGATGGACACTTAGATTGTTTCCACATCTTTGCTATTGTAAATAATGTTGCAATTAACACTGGGATCTATATTTGTCATTTTGTGTGTTTTCTTCAGAAAAATACTCAGAAGTTAAATTGCTGGATCATATGGTAATTTTATTTTAATTTTTTTCAGGGACCTTCAAAAGTTCATTTTATGCTCCTATTTTAAAATAAATATAGGTTCACAAGAAGTTGCAGAAACAATGCTAAGAGGTTGTATGTGTCTTGGTGTGGGTCTCTTTGAGTCCATCTTGTTTGGGACTCTGCATTTCTGGGCTTGTATGTCTATTTCTTTCATTGGGTTAGGAAAGTTTTCCATCATTATTTTCTGTTGATTTATTGGTTCATTTCTCTATTCCTGGAATACTACTACACTTTAAAAAATACCATAGTTCTGTGTTTTTTCTTTTTGTTTTTGGTGTTTTGAGGAAAATCTCTGTGTTTTATATACAATAAATCTAAATGTGAACTTGGATAAGGGGAGACTTTAATTAGAAAGACTATTTCAATAGGGAGAATGCTCTGATCCTCAGAAATCTGTGAGTATCTCAAAATCATACAGAAAGAGATTTGTCTTTTACAAAGTAAAGGACAAAGAAGGCAAAAATTAGCAGAATCTTTGGAGGGGAAGCTTGAAAAATAAGGGGAAATTGTCAGAGTTGTGACAGGAAATGGTCATCTATGGTTAGCGAGTTCTCAGAGGAAGTTGATGAGAGTAGCCTGTTATACTTTTTATGTTTGTGCTTGTTCAGGCTATGAGGTAAACAGAGTTCAGGGGCCTGTATGAAAAGAGAAGCCTGATTTAAGTTTGGTCAAAACAAAGCAGAGGGTAAAAAATGGGCAATGTGAACACTTGATTACTTATTGTTTACAACTGTTCTGTGTCTTCTTTCACATTCTTCTTCTGTATAACCTTATAGATAGTTTTACTAAGTTCCATAAAAAATATCTTGGGACTTTCATTGTGGTTGCATTTACTGTGTCAATTAATTTGGAGTAAATAGCTTTCTTATAACATTAACAATTTCCCGCCCCTTCAAAATAAATCTATTTTTATGTAGCTCATGATTTTTCAGTTATACTTTATAGTACTGTCCCTGAGAACTTTTTGCATTTCTCATATAAATGTTTTTAGTTATTGTTGAAGTTTTGTTTTAAAAATTTAAATGGGTTTCCTATTGCATTTTTTCTTTTTTTATTAAACTTATTGGAGTGACATTGGTTAATAGGGTCATATATGTTTCAAGGGTACATTTTAATGATACGTGATTTATATATTGCATTGTGTGCCCACCACCCAAAGTCAAATAATCTCTGGCCCCCTTTACCTTTTACTAGCCCCAGATCCCCTTTGCTCTGGTAACCACAATACTATTGTCTGTCTGAGTCTACGAGTTACAGTTTTATATTTCACATGTGAGTAAAATTATATGGTTCTTAGCTTTTTCTGACTGAATTATTTCATTTAGCATAGTATTCTCAAGGTCCATCCATGTTGCCACAAATGGCAATATTTCATCTTTTCTTATGGCTGAGTAGCATTCCACAGTATGTATGTACCACATCTTCTTTATTCAATCATCTATTGAAGGACTCTCAGCTGCCTCCACGTCTTGACCACAGTGAACAACGCTGCAATGAACATAGGGGTGCATACATCTTTGTGAATACATGTGTTTGAATTTTTTAGGTACCCAAAAGAGAGGTTGTTAATGCAATCTCCATTAAAATGTCATTTTAAAAATAAATAGTATAAAAAATTGTTAGATTTTTATGTAACTGCAAAAGAACCCAAATAGCCAAAGCAATCCTGAGAAAAAGAATGAAGCAGGAGGTATCACACTATCTGATTTCAAATTATACTACAGAGCTACGATGATCAAAACAGAATGGTATTGGCAGAAGAACAGATGTACAGACCAATGGGACAGAACTGAGAGCCCTGAAATAAAACCACACATATATGGGCAAATGATTTTTGACAAAGGGGCCAAAAACCTGCAGTGGAGAGAAGAAAGCATCTTCAATAAGTGGTGCTGGGAGAGTTGGAAAGCCACATGCCACAGAATGGAACTTACATGTTAAAATTAAGTTTTTCCTTTGATTAAAAAACATTGCTTTGTAAAAAAATTTAAATAAGGTGTTTTTTTTTTTAATTGAGATAACATTGGTTAATAGAATTATATAATTTTTGGTGTACAACATTAAAATTTAATATCTGTATATACTATAGCATGCTCACCACTGAAATTCTGGTTTTCATTCACCACCTTACAATAGGCCCTCTTACACCTTCCGTCCTCCACCTTCAGCTGTAGACTTTCCCTGTGTGGCTCCATCTCAGAGAGGGTCTCTCCACACTTCTGCTGCTCCCTCAGAGATTCTGTACTCTCATGATTTCCCAGTTGGCCCTTAACAATTCATTAAAAATGTAGGTGAATTCCTGTTAACTATTTGCCTGGCATCCGGATTATGCTCTACTATAGGTGATTCAGTGCTCCTGATGGTCTTTCCTTGGGTGAGTCTATCTCCATAGATTTTAGGCTACTGTTACCTCAGGTCTATTATGGGTTCAAGAAAATTAATGACTTTGTTGCTAATACAAATTTTTCTTTTTTAATATATCTTTTTATTGATTTCCGAGAGAGGAAGGGAGAGGGAGAGAGATAGAAACATCAATGATGAGGGAGTCATTGATCGGTTGCCTCCTGCACGCCCTTGACTGGGATCGAGCCCGTAACCCGGGCATGTGCCCTGACTGGGAATCAAACCTCGATCTCCTGTATCCTAGGTTGATACTCAACCGCAGAGCCATGCTGGGCCGGGCCAAATTTTTCTTGTTAGGTTGGGAGTGATACTCATTCCATTTTTTATTTCCTGGGGAGAAATAGAGATTACCCTCTATTTTCTTCTAATAGTTTAATAATTTTATTTTTAATTTAAATCCATCACCATATAGTCATGTATATTCATAGTTTCATAAAATATGTATTTATAAATTTTGTGCAGAGTAAAAGCATTTGATACGGACATTTAGGAATTTATGAGGGTATTACTTTAATGAATTGATAAAGAATTTATTTATTTACTTTTTGACCCTTTTTTTTTTTTAACCATTTTTAAACATAGAATTTGGAAGACTGATACAATAAACATTCACATTTTCTCCATCCAGATTCAACAATTATCAACATATTGCCACATTAAATTTTTTCTCAATTTATATACACACATGTATATTTTTTCTTGCTAAAACATTTATACTTTTTGGGTGATATCATGACACTTCAATAATTCTTCAACAAATATTGAAACATTTAAAGAATATTTCCTACATAATCACAGTAGTATTGTTATACCCACGAAAATTAACAATTTTATAATTTCTGATGTTCAATACATATTGAAATTATCCCAGTGACCTCCGAAATGTCATTTATAACTATAATATCGGAACCAGAGTCCCACCAAAATTGACATTGAATTTGATTTCATATATTTTTTGTCTCTTTTAACCTAGATCAGCCTCTGGCCACTTTTTAAAATTAAATTTATTGGAGTGACATGAATTAATAAAATTATATAGGTTTCAAGTGTACAATTCTATGATACATCACCTGTATATTGTGTTTTTAAAATGATAATAACTGTAGC